CACAGGGTCACAGACTGCATGTGTTCTGGAATGAGGAGAACTGGAATGAGGAGAACTGCATGTGTTCTGGAATGAGGAGAATAATGAAACAAAGAAAGGGCGAGGCACTGAGCAGTGCATACTTCAACAAGAAGGACGGAGTGGAAAGAGGCCAGGAGTGTTATTCCAGTAAAAATTTCTCTTTGTGCAAAGCAGGGATTAAAGCATCTTCCCTAACAAAATACACTGCATGAGCGGCCCTTCTCACAGCACTTGGTCACACTTGATCCGAGCGCACACCAAGGAGCCAGCCTTCCCTGGTAGACCTTCAGCTCCACAACATCATCAAGGGTCCTGTTGTGTTTACTCAGGACTAGTACAGACTGGCACTTAACCCACACCCAGAATCATCAATCAGTAGTAACTGGCCATGCTCTGTCCCTCCCAAAGGAGAAATGCTACTGCTACTGCTGAGACAGAGCAAGGGCAATGAACAGCACTGTCCTGTCTAGAACTCTCAAGTAGAGAAAACCTAATTAACACCTTTAAGTGCTTAGATTCTTTGAAGGAAAACAATACAGCTGAACTTTTTTTTTTTTAAGAGACAGGGTCTCACTACGCAGTTCAGGCTGGCCTTCAACTCACTATGTAGACCATGCTCACAGGATCTTTCTGCCTCAAGCCTTCCAACTGCTGGGATAGTAGGCGTGTGTGTGCCACCACACCCAGCATGTGAATCTCATCTTAAGGAACCAGTGCTAAGTCTCAAAGTGCTCATGTTCTTCCTTTTGACTGAGGCAGGGGCAGAGCATACAGGAATGAGTATCTGAATGCTCAAAAGGCAGAACCCACATGGTTAGTAGAGACTAAACAGATAAAGTTTGATTTGTAAATAGCTCAAATAATTTACAATTTGTTAGCAGGAAATTCTTTCTGACAATTCAGACAAAAAAAATAACCCTCAAGTTATAGTCCTGTAGGAACTACAAAACAGCTCTAAAAAGCAGCTGGTTAATCAATTAGGTAGAAATGAGTAAGACTTAGTGTTGGCAAAAGTGTGGAAAAACTGAAGCCCACATATGTTGCTGGTGGAGACATAAGATGGTACAGTCGCTTTGGAACAATTTGATCGTTCCTTAAAAGTTGAACACTTTATTCCCTTAGGATACAGCAATTCCACTCCTCAGTATACACCCATAGGAAGTGAAAGCCTGCTTCTCAGCAAAAACTTGTACATCAATATTGACAGCAGCACTATTCATAATAGCTAAAATTGGCAAATCTTAAATGTCTATCAGTGACGAATGGCTTTTTAGAATGTGTTACAGCCATACAGTGGAATGTTATTTGGCAATTAAAAAAGGAAACAAAACACTAGTATGTGCTCCAATGGATCAACTTCAAAAACAGGATGCTTTTCAGGTTGACGTTGGGTTTGGTTTGGTTTGACCTGAAACATGGTGGTGGCTTTCACCTTTATTCACCATTAGAAAGCTATCTGGGCAGAACAGTTTCCAGAGCTGAGCACTTACTATGGGTTATAATGTCAACCAGTTATATAACCAGCTAATAACATTAGCATTAAGAAAAATAGGCTTGTAAAGTCAATTATGAAAGACCATACATTGTATGATTCCATTTACATAAACTGTAAATTCTACGAGAACAGAAAGGTGATTAAGTAGTTGCCAGGGAATGACGCTTTATGGATATGAGGACTGTTTTTTAGGGTGATGAAAATGTCCTAAAACTGATCTTGATGATGGTCACACAATTCTATGAATATACACTAAAACTCCTGAGCTGCACACTTTAAATTGGTGAATTATATGGGACATGAATCATGTCTCAATAAAGCTACTGGTTTAACAGATACACAAGATGTGAGACTAGGTTCTCCAGAAAGCACTACGGCCTAAAACTGGGGTAATTCCACTTCCCCTGCCCGCCTCAAGAAGTCTGCTACAGGACAAGGCATACTTTGGTGGTCACTTTCTTTAAAGATTCACCTGGCTATCCAGGTCCTATCCAGGCTTGCTTTATTTATGAGAAGATAAGGTTGCAGCAAGCCATTTTCAAACAAATTCATTTGATATCACATTTTAAAAATATCAAAGAAGTAGCACATCAGAGGAGGCCCAGGAAACTTGCTTACAATAACCAGCTCTCACGAGATGCTGTCCAACAGATGCAAAAAGGCCTGCAAGTAAGCCAGGACTCACAGCGGCTCGCTCACAGCAAGCATATCAGCTTCCAAGAAAAGAAAAAACCTGGGATATCTGCTTAAAGTTGTGCCCAGAAAAGACCCCGAATTTTCTCCCATCCTTCCTGCTGCACATGGGTGCAGGATGTAATGTACCTACTAGGTCTGCCAGTCTATTTAAAGAACTTATCCTTTTTAGTATTCACACAACCTCTCTCAGAAGATGGTATTATCTCCACTCAAATAGAACCCACCTTGAAGGAAATTTCCTTGGGCTGAAGGCCTTGCGGCTGGCAGTGATGTCTGATGCAGAGCCCAGACACTCTCTACCACTGCTCCCTCTCCTGTACGTGGGCAGAAGCAGAAGCTCTTCTGCAAGCGCTCAGGAAAACCCGGAGCAGAAGCTTACAGCAGCTTGAAGCCCACCTCTCTTGCCTCTGGAAGCTAGAAGGATTTGTGGTCTAGGTCTGTGAAGTCAGGAGCAGACAAAAATCCATCATCACTCACCAGGACAGACACAAACCTCAAGATAATTTGTTTTCCAATGGTTTTGGCTTAAAGATCTGGTTTGTCATTTTTTTAAAAGAACTAACAGTTGTAGGGAATTTTCATACAGAATGGGCACAGGGCATTTGGCAGGCACAAACCCTGCCCAGTGGGTCCTCTGCCATCAAGGTCTTTAGCTATCAGCGATACCTATCTCCTTAGGTTGCCTTTCGGTTTTAAAGTACTGTACTTTAAGTGGAAAATAAAACCAAGCCTGTAAATGCGTCTTTATTGCCCTTCTTGACAGCTACTGTGGTAGATGATTCACTACCCCTCCCTGGGAGAGGAGTGTGTCCTCCACCCACCTCAGTGACCTCAGGCGAGGCCAAGGGACTTGTGGTGCCAGTCCCTACAGAAGACAGACACCTCCTAACCCCATGATCTCAAGATAGCTCTGTGATCTGCACTGACAATGAGAGAGACACAGGGGCATGTGTTACTCACAAGCCTGAGGTTAAAGCTGGCTAGTGGGTTGCCATTTGTCTTTTCTCTTGGGCGGAAGATGGTGAGGAATGAGCCAAAGCTGACCCACAGTGGAGCTGCAACACTAGCAAGAGATGAGTCTGTACTGTTGTGAGTACTGAGATTTTGCACGAGCCAGCTTAAAATGGCACAGCCACTAACTCTGATCCCTGCACCTCTCTGGCCATCAATTCCTGCTGATGGGTCGCTTCCTCTAGAAAGTCCTCCCTGACCACATACCTCAGCACCCCATCCAACACCTCATAACACACACACACACACACACACACACACACACACACACACACATCTATGCAGAGGTGTTCTGGGCTTACTCCGGTGGCGTAACACCTCCCTCATTACTGATCCCATTCTGCTACTGAAACTATCACATCTGTGGGCCAAGTTTTAGCTTTCCATCTTGAGTCATTTCATCAAAACATAAAATAGAGTTCTGCATGAAGCAGCAAGAGAAAGGGGATAGATTCCTTAAATACAGAAAATATTGAATATTTAAGGACTATTGCAAAGTACAGACATGTTGTCGCAAGTCACTTTTTTTTCCAGCCAATTTTGGTTTGAAAATGAGCCTGTTACTTCACTGATGAGACCAGAAGGCAAACATCAGCTTCACAGGCTCTATCAGACTGACTCATCTTTTTGATTTGTAAGAGAACTTTGGTCTATAGAGCTTCCATGACACAGTCACCTCCAAAACATTCCAGAAGGGCAGCACCACAGCCTACTTTCTTAACTTAAGAATTAAAAAAATGACAGTACTCTCCAGTACCTGTTGAATAGTCTGGTTTGATTAGAAGCCAATCCATTATAAAATGTCAGCAGCATCAAGAGAGGACTCAGAACTCATGCAATGGCCAGGCATGATGACGCACACCTGTAATCCCAGTACTTAGGAGGCTGAGGCAGGAGGATTACTGTGAAGTTGAGGCCATTACTGTGAATCTGGGCTACAAAGTGAGTTCCAGGCCAGCCTATGCTGCATAGTGAAACCCTGTCTTGCAAAGACACACACACACACACACACACACACAAAACGAACAAACAAACAAAAAAACCCCAAAACTCCTGTAACATGTACTGAGCACATTTATGTGCCAGGCACTGGGTCACTCCCACTGTGGACTGTTCTCATTTAAAGATTAGGTCAAACCTAGGAAGAGGTATGTTTTTCTCTACTTTCCAGAAAACAGGCTCTATACTTAAGCAGATAAAGAGCAGTAATTTGAACCAAGATCTTTCAGTCCCTTTAAACTATGCCACAATGTCCTCTAAAATAGAATGGAAAGAAATACCACTTGGGCAATGCCTGGAAAGTGAAGGTGGTGAGTGCACCTAGATCTCTTGATGAACAGGTCCCACATGAGACACATCATCTGATTTGAGGGTATGTGTTCAAAAATATGATAGGATCTATAAAAAGTTTCCCACAACAGTTATTATTCCAAACCTATCATTAGACTAAATAATGATACTGCACTTAAGTATTAATGTCTTTCACCAAAGGATCAACAATAAATTGGCAAGTATAACTAATTTTTAAAAAGAAGTTAATATACACTGGGAAGGGGACAGAGGATCACTGGAGAATCCCAGAAGGTATAAAGTAGATGAAGGAATTATGTATGCACACACACACAGATTCAGGGTGAGATTAGGACAAATTAGGAAACAGCACTACCTGAAGGTCAAAAGTGCTCCACTCACTGACAGCCCAGCCCGCCAACCCCTGCCCACCCTCTCTTCTCTCTCCCTGGCTCCTGCCAGCGCAGTACAGATGTCTGCAACTCACCACAAGCTCACTGAACATGACGTCTAGCTCCTCCACAGGGGGCATGGGCAGCGCTGGCTCCATAGTCTGAAGCGCAAAACTGCTATCATTTCGCAGCCGATACGTGATTTCTGGGTGGTCATTATTCCGGAAACAGCAAAAGATAAATGAAATCCCCCGTCCACCTCTCTTCCTTGGTGCCATGGCTGAATTCTGTTGTTTCCTGATGTGACTAAGCTCTGCGAAAAGAGGACATGGCATGGTTAAGCATTCAACAGACAAAAGAACTATTTAAGAAGTCAGAGTCATTACCACCAGATCGTGCTGGTGATAAGGTGTGGACACTACAGGAAATAGAGGACACTCTAGAAGGGGCTGGAGTCCAGCTGGGCAGTGCCTTTGATCCACTCGCTGAGCCAACTATGTGACTTGGACAGCTCCACTCCCGGACATGCACCTTAGTCACATCGAGCCACCGGCTCCTTCTTGCACACGAATTTCTTCACTCACCTATCTGCTTTGCTCTTGTTTCTCTCCCAGCAAAAATGACTTTTGTCTCTTTGCCCCTAGGAGATCTCTTTCACCTTCCCTAAGTGGAATTAATTATACTGTGTGGATGCTAACTAAGGTTTATCTAGCCATCCCAGGAGGGGCCACATTCTGAGTTCCTTACCAGGTGTCTTCCTGTTAGACCTTGCTAACTCGGTGTGTGCACCTGTGTGTTTATGGGCAGGGGAGGCTACCTCAGCGCCCTCGGTGACGACTGCTGTACTGAATAACTCAAGTTCATGTCAAAACAGGAGACTTGTTAGAAGGGTTCTGCGATTTTCAAACAAAAAAGATGAAATGAGTTCAACATGATCACACAATAGAATATTACGCATTCATTAAAAGAATGAGGCGTTTGTATGTAGATAAAGAAAAATGTTTGAGATGCCCTAAATACAGAAACTTTAAAATATGTACTCCTGTAGTATATAATATATACAGTACAAGTTTTAAAGAATGTATTATATATTTATGAATATATACAAAAAAGTGTTAACAGCAAGAACCACAAAAATAAAAATGTAACATGGCCTGTAAACCACTGCTTTGCTGGAAAAATCAGGTCCTGGCGTTCCTAAACTCAATGTCAGTAAAGAATGAGGCCACATTTAAAGTGAAAGAAGACGATTTATTTGAAGATGGGAACGGAGGGAGAGGCAGATGACAGGCAGCTACTCAGACCAAGTAGGGAGAATTCAAAAGCAAACTGCTTCTGGGACCTGGCCACCAGGTCTTCTTATAAGGTTTCTTCTTCCGCTGTAGGCTCCCGAAATCTGATTGGCTCCCTGGCTTGTCTTTCACCTTAACCTAGGATTTTTTTTGGACCTTAGGACCTCTCCCAGTCCTTTTGTGGAGGGTAAGGAGGGTAAGATTATGGGTGGAGACCTTAAGGACAGGTTACTTAAACTTAAAAATTAAGGGGAAGTTTGTGATTCTCATGTTAATCATGCTATTGGGACCTTCCCAGAGCTAGTTTCTTTGTCTTTGTCTTCCTAATTGCTGGAGTCTAGCTGTCTCTGTGCTTCTAATTGCTGAAGTCAGGCTGCAGAGCTCAATGTTGTCTATTAATTTCTAATAAAGTTCAGTGAAGCCTTTGCCCTACCTTTTCCCTCCTTATGGGGTCCCCTGTCCCTACAAAAGCAGACAACTGGAGGCGTAGGCATTTTCACTTATACCCTTCTGAATTTTCACTACAAAAGTATGTGTTTAATGACTGTAGACTTTTTAAAGCTGAACTCTATGTACTGTCTTGGAAAAAATCCCCAAGCAGTACTGTCAAGTGAAAAAGCAAGTTGAAGAATGATGTCCATAGTATGATGCCAGGGAGTCTTTAAAAAACAATCTCACAGAATTAAAAAAAAAAAAAAAAAAAAAACCCAACCCTTTACAAGTAAATGCACAGCAAAAGGTCTGGAAAGGTACACAGCAATTTCCTAACTCTCTAAGGGAAATGAGGTTGGGAAGAGGCAAGAAATAGAACATTCCTTTCATGTTACTCTTTTAGTAATGGGTATATAGTCAGGTACAATTTCTGTTAACTTGTAATTTTTAAAAAGAGACAGGGTTAAAAGAAAAGACAGTGGATGTATTGGCCCTTCTAGGATTGGAAAGAGCAAAGGAGGAGAAACACACCTCTGGAGGGAAGGTAGAGCAGGAACAACACAGTTTCCAGGCAGGAACTGCAGGGAGTCAGACTACATAAAGTGGCTGATGAGTCTCAAATGATCCCACAAGCAAGGGTCAGAAACAAGCCTTCCTTGCTCTTCTCTTTAAAAAATAGAGAGGGAGAGAGGGAGAGAGGGAGAGAGGGAGAGAGGG